CTCGGAGTATGGATACGTTGGTGCGGAACTCAGTCCACGATACACCAAGCATCTTCCTCCAGCACCACATCTCTAGAGCATCTATCTTCCTCCTTTCCAATTCACGTACTGTCTACGTCTCTGCCGCGTAGAGGAAAATCGGAAATACCAGCGCTCGCATAAGTCTGACCTTATAAATTCTATATCCTCCCTTGGTCACGGTATTACACGTAAATGGCTAGACCGTTTCCACCAATTCTTTTTTTGTTGTAGTTATTATTAGGAGAAGGTTCTTAAGATAGAAAAATGATGAAAATCCATACACTTTTAACAATTCTTAGGCATGCTACGCCGTAGTAGCGTAGCATATGTAGCTGGTCCGACGTAGCACTGTAGCCTACGACTGTTTCGGAGTAATAAGCGTACATATAATATTTCAGCGATAAACTTCTACAACATAACATCACGCCTTTAGGCAGAGGTACACATTACGGCACTTAATGCACACCCACAATGTAACACCCACTTTTCACTATTTATGTTATGAGTCCCGTGTAATAGGGAGTGAGCCTATTGCCATATACCAGGCACATTGCCGGACTCCGTGCTACTACTGAGATTTTTTTTAAAGCCAATAATACTTTGCTCGATCCGGGAATTCAACCCGACACCCCTTGCCGCCGCAGTCGCACTTGCGACCACTCGGCTAATGAGGCAGTCGATTATTTTAAAAATTCTATTTGTTTCAATAATTCATATTAATTAAAGTGTAAAGCAATAGGGTAGTTTCCTAAATTTTATTTTAATGTCCGTCTGGTAGATTTTAAAACATCAAACACGTATTTTTTCTTTTCTCACAAAATTAAATGCTTCTGACGATATATTGATTTGAAATGTCGCGTGACGTCACAGCGTGCTGCAAAATGTACCACGTTATGACGTAACGTGGGGGGCCACTCCTAAACTTAACGCCATTTTTTTAAGTATTGTAACTTTATACAAGAGAAAATAAAAAATACGTGTGTAATATTTTTTCATTATCTAACTGACGGACTAATTAGATTTTTAATTTTCGTACCCTGTAAACTACCCTATTCAAACACAAAACATTCAATTATAGAATGAACTCAGTCTCAATACAAACGATTGTTTTGTAAGAGAATCCATTAGTTAGTGAATCAACTGTTTGTTTATAAACTTCACTAACTACCGGTTAGTACTATCGGGTTACTAAACCGTTAAGCTCACAGTTAACGATCGCTGTGACATCACTAATAGCTTAGGATGGATTACTGAACGCTTGCAGTAGGATCAATGTGTTTATTGTTTTGTATTCTGTTTTTAGGGTTCGTACACAAAATTGCGATGCGGCGTCGCATCGCAAAAATGTGCGAACTCCCTTTACGCATCGCAAGAACTTGCGAATTGATTCGCATCGCACATCAAAATCTTTTCTTCCCAAATTCTTCTTTGTTTCTTTTTTCTGTATCTCCTAAGCAATAACAGAAGTGCACACTTCTTTTTACGATCCATGTCACGACCCAGTTTTCAATTTAAAATACGTTTAGTATGGTTGACGGTCGTCGAAGGAATGGTCACCATAGGAGACGTCTTGTCGCACGAAATTGCATCGCAGCAATTCGCATCGTAATTTTCTGCGTTGCAAAATTCGCATCGCATCGCATCGCAGTTTTGTGTACGAGCCATAATTCAATGTTAAACAGAAATATATTTACAATATCAGTTAACCCAATGTTTATGGTTAACCATAATAAATATTGGTGTTGAAGTAGTATTACATTTGATTTATCTTTTATGCGGTTTAACTCGTCGAGTACCGTCATTATAGACACAATTATAGAACAATAGGTTGCGGTCACCGGTGACCACTTGGTGTATGACAGTTTAATATTGTAAGGTATGTTTAATTTTGTTTGAACACGTAGCTGAAATTTAAAATCCATTGAAATGTATGTCCATAACTAGCTTTCCACCCGCGGTTTCCCTCGCGTAGTTATAAAACTATGCGTTAAAATGATGAGATTATCTACCTTTTAACCATTGAAGGTTTATTCGGTACAACTAAAGGACTATGACAATATTTATGCCACGGCAAAGTGAACTATGTGTTAAAGTCCTAGGATTTTCTATCTCAAAGTAATATAGAAATATCTTAGAAAAATATACCTATATAGCATTGGCTATATTTTAATTATTTACATTAAAAATTCATTTATAAGGTCTACAGAACTGTGCAGTCTCTATTAAAAATAAACAACAATATTGATTGTAAAGCTTCAGTGACGCCACAGTAAGATTTTTGTGCTTCTCCGAGCATTGAAGTACGGTCCTTGGGATATAAAATTATACATACACATATTACACACATACATGCATACATACACGCATTGTAATGTGTGTAGAAACAATATAACATTCATAAAGTTAAACATAATATATGGAATTGCCTTTCTAAAATAAATATTGTATGATATCTCGCATTTTATATATGTGTATGTATGTATATTAAAATAATCATATTGTTTTCTGTTGTATAATGTTAAGTATATGTGTCTATAGAAATAAAATGTGTTACTATAAGAATTATATTTAGAACTCCTCTCGCCTGTGATACAGGATTGTCCTAGTGCAGGCATTTAACATTGTAAGGACAATTGGCTAGTTTCCGAGGTTTAAAATAATTAAAAAATAATCATACTCTCATCCATTGATTTGACAATTTACCTACATTTGGATTTTTTCTCGCTACCTTTAAGGAAATATGTATATGCTATTTGACGCAGAAATATGATGACGTCTTAGGTTGCGATCCAATACAAAATTCATAGAAAAGTATCGTATTTGACATTTCAATAAAAGTATTGAATTTGACTACCTGTCAACTACTATAATGTATATATTCACGATAATATACTTTTGTATTTCGCATTTTGATTAATGAATAAAGTTTATTTATTATTTATTTATTTTACTTTGGAAATAAAATGGGTTAAAGTTAAAGAAAACATTTCAGTATTTCCGTCATAAGTCAAGCAATTTTGATAAGAATTTCGAAAATCTGTTGTTTGACCTGGCCATCATAGTTAGGTATCTACTGCACAGGTCTACAATACTAACAGGAGAACAGATCGTTCTAAGTACATTGCAAATAATGATTTTTTTTTCAGGAGGGAAAATCATCTAATTTCTCCCGCCTTGGATTAGGCGAGAGGGAGTGTCAGACTGTTACTGACTAAAAACCACCCCGTCCCTACACCCGCTCTTCAAGCCGGCAAAACGCACGGGTCTGGTTCTGGTCGGATAAGGGATATTTTATTGCAACAATTTAAAGGAGCTATCATCAAAATAGGTCTTTGTAATCCAATGTGTCGAATGTTTGAGCACACAAATATCCTTCTTCCCGGAGAATAAAGAAAAAATATGCCGTCAATATTTAAGACAATAATAACAATATTATTATCCTATAACTGTTTAACTTTTACCTTGATTTAGGCTGCCTGTCTATTGACGCTGAGAGGGGCAGCGGAGCGGAGAAATGAAGCGTTTTTTTTTTAAGGGGGGAAAATCATCGTATGGCTGCTCCCGCCTGGGTGAGGCGGGAGGGAGTGTCAGACTCTTACTGACTAAAAACCACCCCGTTCCTTCTCCTGCACGTCGAACCGGAGCCCCGGTTACCCGTTAGGTTCTCCGCGACTACGAATCAGCATCGGCCCTATTGGGCCCCCTCTGTGGTGGTCTGATGGCTCTTTGAGGCGCGCGCGGAACGCGACGCGCCGTAAACATTAACCAATAGGATCGCATGAAATCTCCGCTCCGCTTTAGTGGAAAGGGATTTGCGAGCTAGTTTAAAAATTCATACATTTTCGGAAGCGGCGCGTGGTAGCGGTGCTAGGTAGTGGTACGAGATGGCGGAGCGAGGGAGCGGGGCGGGGTATGGTATATTTTTTTAATTTTTTTATGGCATAAGCCGGTAAATTACCGGTCGGACGGATTACCTGATAACTAATCGTCGTCACCCATGGACACCTGGGACACCAGAGGCGTTACAAGTGCGTTACCGGCCTTTTGGGGATTAAGAGTTTGAGGATCGTTGGGGATTCAGGAGTTGGAGGGATTGGGGAAGGGCAGGGTAATTGGGCCTCCGGTAACCTCACTAACACGACGAAACACAACGCAAGCGTTGCTTCACGGTGGTTTTCTGTGAGGCCGTGGTATAACTCCGGATAGCGTAGTATACCGCTGAAGATTGACAGTCCATTACTCCGCTCCGCAATACTCGCTAGCTCCGCTCCGCTGCCCCTCTCCGCGTAAAAGGACAGGCAGCCTTATACAGAGGACAAATGAACATTGATCACCTTGCTACCTCTGGGAAGGAGTTCCAACCCCCCAGGCTATAAGGTAACTAAGCAAATACGGCGTAATAATACATCATATTGATATTTCGTGATGAAATTATATTCCGTATATTCAAGACCAGTTATAAGGAATATATTATGTTGTATTGTTCATATTTAAGTTGGTAGTTGTTGTAAATGGGAATGTTGTATTTGTGTGTACTAAGTTATTGTTAGAATGAAAAAGTAGCTATAGAAAGTTATTTGTAATTTGTATAAATGTGGGAAAAATAATTTGTTATTAAGTACTTTGTGTTTTTGTTTCGTTTTTTTGTTTGTTTGAATATGCTGAATAATAATATTATTGAAATATAGTAAATGAACAGTTGCCAGAATAGTAAGTACAAATGAATTATACTTTTTTTTTTATTTCATTGTTATTTCATAGTCGTACCGTAGTCAGTATTTATAGTAAACAGAAGTGGGCAAGAACAAGTCACATTTATCACGCTAAAAAACAAATACCGCGTAACTCATTCTACGTATACACACCAAGTCGCCAGGACGCTGCTGATAAGGTCCCTTCAGGCAGAAGGTCGTGGTTTTGGTAATTATGATCCAACTCTTTACAAATGAACTCGAAAGTCTTATCATTCACAGCTGGAATCACATACAAGCAGTACTTACATGTGGAGATGTGATGGACTTCCTGCTATCAGTGTTACTGGCCTGCCTGGAGAAGGAGGGCGCGTGGACACTCATTGGAGACCCTGGCTCCGAGTCTGTCTTGCCTTCGTTACTGCTGTTCCCTGCTTCCTGGTGAGAGATAGGTTTTGGTTCAGTTGCTTGTACAATTAAGTTTAATAGTTGTGGTAGAATCTAACACTCGATGTGTTAGACGAATAGAATAAATATGAAGGTAAAGGTACTAGCTACTTCCTACTATAGCCATCCTCGATAAATGCGCTATCCAACACAAAAATAATTATTCAAATCAGACTTGAAGTTACGGAGATTAACGCGTTCAAACAAACAAACAAAAAAACAAACTCTTCTTCTTTATATAATATAGTATAAGAGTATAAGATAATAGACAGAGTTATTTGATATGCCACTGTGTTCTTATTTGTTAGCTGTGTGGAAACAGTATCGTTTGTCGCACATGTATCGTGACTATGGGCCCCTATCATTGCTTGAAACTAGTCGAGTAGCCCTGTTAAACAGTTATGTCACCTCGCTTAAGTAATATAACACTTACTTGAGTAAGTAGTATAACACTTAAAAGTGCCTTTTTAGTCTAATTACAGACTTCAAAAAAAGTAGGAGGTACTATGTTCGGCTGATTGGTTTTTTTTTTGTTTGTTCGCGCAGTATACTTAGACTTCTTACCTATCAGTGGATGAGTAACCTATCAGTACTATTATTTTTTGCTTTTTAGTTTTGACTTTTTGTTTGTTATTAGTTTTTGGATTTTTGAAGTTGGTTTTTTTGAAATAAATGATTTTGACTTTGACTTTAGTACTGATCAATCCCCAAGCGGTCACCGGTGATCGCTCTCCAACTCCATTATAGACCTTATTTTCGATGTCTAGAGACTACTTTTGTGTGAACAAATTTTGGGGATTTATATCAATAAGCCCTATTCACGTAACTTGATTAAGATAACAATGAAATAACATTTTATGAACAAAACTGTGGGAAATACAAAGCAAGTACTTAAGTTACAAACACGCTCAGCTACTTAATTGCACCTCTAAGTAATACCTAGGTAGGTGTAATACAATATATCTATGTCCTATATAGTCTATGTACTCTATGTCCTAGTTTCCAAGTTGTGTGGCTTACAAGCAGGCAATTAGGACTTTGTACAAGTTTGCAACAACAAATGTCTTAGTACTTATAATAATGTAGACCTAAGACCAACAAATGTGTTATACAAGGTGTTGTTTTAAAGCCGCGTCATTTTCTAGGAGGTAACTAGGACATTGATTCTGAGTCCGAATCAATAAAAAAATGTAGGTAAATATTTTTCACTTTTCTGAAATTACGGAAATCCGTAAGTGCGAACTACACGCAGCCGTCTTGTAACTAGCTTTATAACGCGGCTTAATACACACAAACTCAAACATGTAATTAATATTATTCCTAATTCCATAAAACTCCAATAAGAAACATTGCTGTCGCTTATTCTGAAATGCTGTCGAACTGAAACGATTTATTATAGCCGTATTTTTAACTATTGGTACGAAATTTTCACTTACATTGAACCTTTATGACTTCTGTGTCAAGCCCCCGAGAAAAGACACGATTTAAAAACTACACTTGTATATGTTTATGTTATCTGTGGCAAGCTGGCCACTTTCAATAGGAAACCTATTTATGTTTTTCTTTGGTTTATAAAATATATGCGTTTACAATTCGTACACTTTTATTTGAAGTTGGAGTGTGCAGAGAAAAGATCACTCAGATAATTTAACTATAAAGTTTATTGCACCCAAGTTTTGTACAGTGTAGCACAGTTGGCAATTCCTTTCTCATTAGGTGTTTACTTCGTTGTTAGTAAAAACACACTCTCCTCGATAATTAATTGACATGTGATTATATACCTAAGCAATATCGCGCGATCGTACCGATCTCAATGTCAGCAAAATATCTATGTACCGTTGAAGATTGTACAATGAGTGTGTTTCTGACTAGCTTGTTTAATTCACATGATAAATAATTATTGTATTATATATTGAAAATATATAACAAAATGTTTTAATTATCTTTTTAACTACATATTATATTCTTTTATGAATTTTTATTTTTTATGGGACAAGCCCGGCACAACCTCGCAAAACCACTGTAACTCCTGTAAGCCAGGATCTACAGTAGATACAACCATGAAAACACCGGAACACTGAAGTCCAGCGCATCCCAGGTCTTGGTTCTTGCAACGATATAATCAGAAGATATTATATGAAATGTATAGTAAACATCGGGTACAATTCCAGGCTCGGTACTGTTGTTCCGCGCGCGCCTCAAGGAGCCATCAGACCACTACAGATGGGGCCTAACAGGGCTGATGCCGGATACGGAGCCGCGGAGGACTTAACGGGTTGCCGGGGCTCCGGCTCGAAGTGCAGGAGTAGGAACGGGGTAGTTTTTAGTCAGTAAGAGTCTGACACTTCCTCTCGCCTCACCCAGACGGGAGAAGTAATTGGATGAAAGTCTCAAAAAAAGGCTCGGTACTGTTACTAAGTTAAATTAGAAAAAACCCAGTTATCATTCCGCCCGGATTGGAAATCAAGCCCAAAACTTGTAGCTAGACAGTCGCGAACCTCTGCCTAACTAAAAATCTTACACTTAGCGCGGCGCAACACCTAAACTAACCCCTTACTTGTACTGCTATGTGTCACTTCTAGATAAGTGAAAACTAAAATATTGTTTAATGTCACCTTTTTAGCTTAGAGGTTCCGTAAAATTTAGAAAAGGTTGGTGAAAACTAAAGAAGAAAGAAAGAATAAACATTTACTCAGCATATACTGCTGTAAGTCTTTATGCATAACATAACTTAATGCCTTTTATCCCAGAAGACCAGGTAGAGGTGCACATTACAGCACTTAATGTAATGTAACACCCATTTTTCACTATTTACGTTGAGTCCCATGTAATAGAGGGTATTGCCGTATACCGGGCAAAATTCCAGACTCCGTGCTACTACTGAGAATTTATAAAAACTCAGTAATACTTTGGCCGACCTGGGAATCGACCCGAGACCCCTTGCCCGGCAGACCCACTTGCGACCACTCGGCCAACGAGGCTTATACTGCATGAAGTGCCGTGACGTGCACCTTTGCCTACCCCTGCAGGGATAAAAGACGTGATGTTATGTATATATATTATGAGTCCCATGTAATAGAGGGTGAGGCTATTGCCGTATACCGGACACAATTCCAGACTCCATACTACCACTGAGAATTTTAAAAACATCTTTATGCATAGTTAAGTAGATATAAACACGTAATGGGTTAAAATATTGGTCCGAAAGTTTGTAACATATATTACGTTAGACCCTTATCCGGTGGTGACGGATATATTACATTCTGATCCGGATGTGTGTCTATGTGATCCGTTTGGACCGGGTCTCGGCTTCTATTTATAGGTATGTCAACGATATAGTTTCACATTAAAATGAGTACGATAAAGGATGTTTTATTGTCAATAAATAATGTTGGAATAAGGTGATGCAATGTTATATTAAAAGTAAATACAACGGGTTTATTTTGTTTTTGTTCCGCGGCAAAATAACTTGCCATAAGGAGTACTTTCGATGTATAAAGTAAAAACATCACTACATAGTATAAAACAAAGTCGCTATCCGACGTCTGTCTGTCCCTATGTATGCGTAGATCTTTAAAACTACGCAACGGATTTTGATGCGATTTTTTTTAATAGATAGAGTGATTCTTAAAAAAGGTTTATATGTAGGTATAATATATTTGTATAGAATCCGTGCGAAGCCGGGCCGGGTCGCTAGTAAAAAATAAAGATGTATTTTTTTTAGTTTAAACATATATTCATTAAGTTTCGCATATGAGATACTAGATGTGGCGTAATGTTTCAATAATGTACTATGAGTTCGTATACACTTGACTGCACGGGTGGCGCGGTGGTTGGGTAACTGACTGCCGTGCAACGTGTCGCGGGTTCGATTCCCGCACGGAACAAGTCTTTGTGTGATCCACAGATTGTTGTTCCGGGTCTGGGTTTCATGGTTGTGTATGTAAACTTGTATGTTTATAAACGACCCACGACACAGGAACAAATCCTAGTGTGGGGAAACGTTTTTTTAAAAAGACAATAAAAAGACTTAATCGAAGTTTACTTTTCGCAATGCTTCATTACTTATTTTTTGTTTTAAACATTTTATTTCTTTGTAAAACTATTCTATTACTAAGATAAAATCATTTTACGTATAGAAGTATAGACATATTTCTGAGCTTTTCGATTTCCGGGGCGAGTAAACATTACTGGGGCTTTTTTTATGTTTTCGAGTATTTTTGTGTATGACGATATCACAATAAGAGATAATACTGTGGTACCTATTATGTGTAATCCTTATAGCATTCGTTGTGAAAAGTGAGGCACCTAACTGTCCGTGCCGACGACCGCAATAAGTTACCGTGGCTCGGGCTCGGGGCAGGAGTTGGAAGGAAGTTGTTTTTAGTCAGTAAGAGTCACACTCCCTCTCGCCTCACACAGCGCGAGAGAAGACATTAGATGATTTTCCTCCATCAAAAAAAGGTTTAACGTTTCACGATTTAAAGTTAATATTTAAATGGCAACTTAATGGCTGGCTTGGAGCCGCACTTTTTAATGTGGGATGACATTCTGTGTCTATATCTATAGGCACATGCTCCTTTGTCCGCGCAATATTCACAAAAACAGCTGAAAACTTTTTGCTCCGCGATTAATATAATGTATAGAGAATTATATGAAAATGTACCGTCCCTAGCCACAAAGCTTTCAAGGGTCTGAACGTTCTATTTATAGAGACAAGCAATTTATTATAATTATGTATGTAAATTAGGTTCTCTTGTGCTGCAACCATCCTTTGCGACTGGACTTCTAAGACTTCTAATTAGCATACTATTATGTCTTTGATCTTTGACGTACTATGGTGTGTGGTGTCCAGTATGTTATCTATACATACCTACATACATGTACGGTCAAAGGTCAGAAGTCCACTGCCACCGTAAGACTACTATCGGTTGCGCTGCAGCGCTTATACACACATGCACACGCATATTTTTATCCGTGTGCGTACGCGTGCGTGTGTTTACGCGTTTTTATGCACATTACATCACTCACAGTGGCAGTGGACTTTTGACCTTTGATTGTACATGTGAGTATAAATAAAATTGGAGTGTAAGTTTGTAATTAACCGCTTTTTACTACATGCATATCAATATACAATATACAGTATACGTACGATACATGTACCAGAATATTTCTTTTACAAATTTTGTCTGCCTATTTGTTCTGGTTAATCTCAGAAATGACTGTGTCGATTTTGACGGGACTTCTAATGGCAGGTAGGTGATTTACTAAGGAGTAATTTGTGCTACTTTATGCACGTGGACGCACTTTGCGCGTACAGTCAGTCTTGAATGCGTTTAATGATACAGATACAAATTTGTACAGATACAAATCGTCCGATCGCTTTTGATCATGATGGCAAATCTAACTAGACTAGCCCACTACGCAGGAGATATTATAGTGCACAAATGTGTGCACAAACATAGGTGCACTCTCTATTCCCTCACTTTCTGAACTCGATGGGACGGCAGACCGACAAGACCGAAGAGGGACCAGGCGCAAGACCAACGGCTTTACGCGTTTTCCGAGGCACGGGCCAAAACACTGCTGAACTTCCTGACTCTGGGCTAATAATGGTCGTTATACTTAGAAAATGCCATCATCACTTTTTGGCCGGCACGATAATCGGACTCGCGACGCGTTCCACAGCAGCCGGTCACCCAGCAACGGCTCCAACCGCGCACGTTCACTATCCAACACTTACTATATTGCTCAATACAGAAATCAAACAATACACCTCGTTCGCATAAGCACACAACAAAACTAAAACAATTATAAACGAAAAGTACCTATACCTAACTATATCCCATAGATATAATATGAAAATAGATTCAGTTCCAATCCATTACTCGATTAGTTTGAATTAAAATCCCCTCGCGGCTTGCACTCAATGTAACTTTAGCAATGAACGAATGAATATTGGTTTCAGAGCTCTGCACAAACGGCCAATGATTGCATTACGTCAGTCGTAATACCTCTGGAGGGTATTTTGTAGGGCTGAGAGGATTGTAATGGATATTAATACTAATGGAATAAAATATAGTTTTTAGTTAATTGGTTTTTCATTGCGACTGCCTCGTTGGTCGAATGGTCGCAAGTGCGACTGCCGGACAAGAGTTCTCGGGTTCAATTCCCGAGTCGGGCAAAAGTGTTACTAGGCTTTTTTAATTCTCGATAGCAACATGGAGTCTGGAATTGTGCCCGGTATATGGGAATAGGCTTTAAGATACATTATATCGAGCTAAAGTACTTGAAAATTAACGTCTCTTAAGTAAAGTCCCTTAACCCCTATTAGATACAACCCGTTTTCTGTACTGATTTAGTTTATTTACTTCAGAACTTTATCTCTTAGAGACTAAATGAATGATTGGAGTTAGTGTTTTCCAAAAAAATATATGAAAATTCGCTGGCCTAATTATAACAGGCCAATAAAACAAAAACAAAAAAATAACAGAAGTTTATATTATAACTACCGTGAGACTAAATAAATCAACTAAAACTCGCGAGTTACTCACGTGAATATACTGAGAAAAGCTCTACTAGTTTCGAACTACAGAGGGGTTCTTCCTCATGTACGAGTATTGTGTACGGTCGCGGTGATGTCGAACAGCCTACTAAGCAGAGCTTCGCTCAGTATTTTCACGTGAGTAACCCGCGATTTTTAATTAAAACAGTTGTTTCTGTAAAACAGCATACCTGTAAAGATCTCGCGAGCTCTGAGTCCAGATACCGTCCAGTAGTTCGTCTGTCAGGCAGTATGTACTTGGGGACCGACTTGAAGAACCAAGCGCCTGACTTCTTCCACATCTCCCTGGTCTCCGCGCACAAGTTGCACATGTACGCTTCTCTGGAGTATATTGGAGATCTAAGGACAAAGATTCATGTGAGGTTGGGGTTTTTGATTCATAGCTATGATTATTAATAGCACTGCCTCGTTGGCCGAGTGGTCGCAAGTGCGACTGCCGGGCAAAGTGTCTCGGGTTCAATGTTTTTTAGTGGATAAACCGGTAAATGGGTAAATGCCGCTCATGGGCACCCGCAACACCGGAGGCTTTAAAAGTGCGTTACGAGCCATTTGGGGGTTAGGAGTTCAATGGTTATTGGTAATTTAGGGATTGAGAAGACTGGGAGTGGGGTCAGTGGGGCCAGTAACCTCACTCACACGACGAAACACAACGCGAGCGTTGTTTCACGTCGGTTTTCTGAGAGGCCGTGGTATCATTCCGGTCGAGCCGGCCCATTCGTGCCGAAGCATGGCTCTCATACACTGATACTATTATACTAAGATAACTGAGTCTTCTTTAATGAATAAGAACCATACGTCTGCACAGCTTACCCCCATATCAAGAATATAATACATGTAATGCCTCGCTTCTCATCTTCTCGTCATTTCTTAAGTTTCAGAAACTCTCACAATATTACCAAGTAGTTTCAACTTCCATTGTTCGATGCAAAGTTACTTTCAACTTTAGTTCAACAACTTAAAGTTGACAATTCATTGCGGTCACTCAACTTTGAAGTTACAGTTAAGTCATCTGTATAACGTTTTTACTCGCTTCGTTTTCTTTTAAAGGGATTATGATAGCGGTTTGAAGACCAAGTTTTTTGTTTTGTGGCGAACTTGGAGACAGAGAATTTTCTACCTTATATCCTGGGCCCTGAAGTATACATTTAAACTTTCTTTAACTTAGTTAATGGCATAGTGGTTTTGTTGCAAAAGAATTTGAACTTTCTGTAGTGTGCTTTGAGATGGAAAGTTGCATGACTGTGGTGCGATGGAAATTTTCTTTTATTTGAGTACAAAGTCAGCATCTTATGTTAAGATGGTATAACAATGCACTTCAATTTTCAAAGTAAAAAATGAAAACTGTCGAGTGTAAGTTATATATAATTAAAGTTGTTGATTTTTTTTAATACGGTACATGCCTAATTTTTATTTTAATGTCCGTCTGGTAGATTATTTAAATCATTAGACACGTATTTTTCGACTTTCGACGATATATTGATTTGAAATGTCGCGTGACGTCACTTCTATGAACATTTTACACGTAGAAATGACGTTTTAGCCCCCACTCCTAAACATTGATTCGTTTTATCTAAGTATTGTTTTATTATACGACAAAATAAAAAATGCTTGTGTAATATTTTTTCATTACCTAACTTACAGACTAATTATATTTTTAATTTTCATACCCTGTCATCATTCCGATTCTGTGATGAGATTATATACACCCGGGGTTCTGTTAGTAATGCACATACCTACTCTCTACTTTCGTCAGTTTCATTCTGAACCTATGAACCCGTCTCGTTATCCGAAAATGTACCCAGACATAACACGAGTTACATGGTCAACGTCAAAAAAAAAATCATTATAAAATATTGTACGACAAAAGAAATCAATACAAGTATTCTTATTCTTGCTTTGCTATGGACATCGGGAGATGACACCCGGGTAAAGTTGGGGAAGGTTGCTAGTTTTAAAATACAGTGAAACCTGGTTAAGTGAGACATCAAGGCATTAGGCAATGTCGTTTCACTTATAGAGGTATTTCAGTGTCTCAGATGTACAGGTATAAATAAATATCTGTCTCATTTACAGAGGGTTCCATTAATAGATATGGACTTGGAATTACGTGTGGAATTTGTGGGTAGAATAAGAATGATTAACAAACAATGTTATCTCAGTTACAGAGGTTTATGCATATAAAATTTACTCGCTATCTCAGTTATAAAAGTAATTATGATGATAAATCGAAAGAACAAAACCCAAATATAGAGGTTTACCTCGTCCCACTAACAGAGGTAATTCAGTGCCAAAGTGTTGGTACCTCAGCATGAGTTCCAGTTATGGAGTTTTCTCACTTATCCAGGTCCCACTTAACCAAGTTTTACTGTATTTTCTACTTACGATAAAATTACCGCGCGATTTCTCTTCAATGCCTTTGTGCTCACATTCGATGATCTTTCAGGAATGCTTTTGTTAAAATGAAGCTGTTTCTAACCTCTCATACTTTTATTTTATTACATCTTTAGTTAAGTCATTGTGTTTTTAGATATTGATCCTAAGAATTAAGGTTTTTTTTATGGGGGGAATTATCGAATGACTGTTCCCGCATGAGTGAGGCGGGAGAGAGGGTCAGACTCTTACTGACTAAAAACCACCCCGTTCCGTTCGAAATTATTATGTTTTCGGCTTACGTAACTGTTTGACGAGGAATTTGACTAGTTTCAAACCATGCTAGAATTATATGCATGTAACAGAGTAGCAGCTCGACAGTCGCCGCGTCGCGGGCTTGAAACTAGTCGAGTTGTTTGTCAAACAATTACGTGGGTAAGCCAAAGAATAATATAAAAATATAGTTGTCCAAAACTGAAATGAATGTAAAGAATTACATTAACACACTGACTGCAAAGTTGTTAGGTTGGGCAACCGCAGTTACGTAATGAGTTAATTTCTATATGGAACAACATTTTGTATGGTCTATAAATGAATTATTATAGTTTGGGTACAATTTGTCTGTTTTTAGACGTATTTGCAATACTGGAGACAAAAATCAAGTGTGGGAAAATGTTTAGAAAAGAAAACGTAACATATTACATACATAAGGCGTGAGCCTTTTTATCCCCGAAGGGATAGGCAGAGGTGCAAATTACGGCTATTAATGCCACTGTACAATGTAACACCCACTTTTCCCTATGTATGTTATGAGTCCCATGTCAAGGGGTGAGCCTATAGCCATACACCGGGCACATTTCCAGACTCCGTGCTTCTACTGATATTTTTTTAAACCTAGTAATACTTTGCTCGACCTGGGAATCGAACCCGAGACAGTTTGCCCGGCAGTCGCACTTGCGAGCACTCTTTATGTAGGTTCTATACAAAAATACATGTTACATTTCCTAAGATCACATGACATTCCGGTCATTTTAGTTTTTAATTCTTTCAGTTATTTTATTTTGTTTTGTATTCGTTGCATGTATCATTTACACTGTGTCTTATATTTAATTTCCTTTTCCTGTCGCAGGTCTGCAGGAAGAATACCCTTAAGGGATATGCAGTACCTATGTACCTCATGTTTGTAATGTGTCGTCCTTTGTAATATTGTCTGTGTGGTGTAGGTACATGAAATGATAAATAAATAAATAAAAAAATGACAATTCAGTTTGTATTCAACTTAAAAGCAATCACAGTTTTATGAACAGACATTTGATACTTCAAGGGAAATGTTAGCAATCACTTTTTTAATATCGCCGCCATATTGAATCTGATTCGCATTCGAACAGCTTTATTGAAAGCCTTTTATGGATTCCGTTTTATTTTTAAAAAATAAATTTCTAAAGAGGTTCGTGTCTTTTGTGTTAGTAACAATTTCTTGTGTAAGGTTAGACATATTTTTAGACCCTGCATCTACATTTAATTTCATATTTTATAATTTTTAATAGTAAAATAAGTTTCTTAATTGGTATCACAAAACGAAATCATTAAAAAAATAAAATGACATTTTTCAATGGGGAACACTTGGACAATGGCGGCATTAGGAGCGAGCTCACGGAACTGTACGGTTGTGTAAGCTATACTCAGTTGGAAATAATTACATAAAGAAATAAATATTGTTTGTCTGCTGGAGATCTTGGTGTTTTCTTTGGAGAGGAGTCTTATACTTGTTTAAGTACCTACTGAGTAAAGATCTTTGTGCTAATTTAGGAATTAGGTCGTTTAAGAATGTTTTAATTATTATTGTTTTTGGTAAAGACTTATTTGTAGTATTTATACGGACTGATGACGTGAATTTTACCCACGCCCGTCGCGGAGGTGGAATGAAGATTTATTTTCAAAATTCACGAGACCGCAGTTTTCTGCGGTTCCGCAGTTGCCACGGTAGCGATTATCGCCCGAAAAATTGGCGGTTGATCATCGCAAGACAGCGGCTACAGTACCGCAACCGTGCCCGCCAGTGCGGTGTAGCGGGAACCTCAAACAATCGAAACCACCGCGGCCCTAGAACGGTGCGAAATGTGCTTTAATTTTTACATATCAACTGTATTTTACAAAAACTGCGGACTCGTAACCGCCGCCCACGACCACTCGACCAACGAGGCAGTCAAACAGTTTTAAACAAAGACTATATTTCAGTATAACAAAACGTCAAGAAGCACCTTAATCCATATCAACGTCTGCAGGCAACTAAAAGAGAACAACTCTAAACCTAACCGTGTGCACTTACGGTTCAATTTGGCGTAACAAAGAGGTTACGTGAAAGGATTATGATATTAAGGGATGAACGATGCATGTGTCTACATAATCTGTGCTGAGTGGCTTTATGTGCGCTGTTTAGTCTGTGGTCTCTTTGTGAACAAATCTTTGGGCTGGGAACAGAGTAGAAATGGGATTAATTATACTTTTTTTGACTACATGATGAAAGATTTGTTTGCGTTTTAAGATTGTGGTTTAATTTAAAGAAATGTCTTGACTTTGATTGGTGACACTGAATTATTATTTAATAAAAATGAACAGACTTGATTAGAGTCTTAGCCTTAGCGAGTCATAATCTATGACACTTTGTATTCTGACATTTTTTTTTTAATTCTTCAGTACCTATATAATCTGTGCTGACTGGTTTTTATCCTTGTTTACTCTGTGGTCCGTTTGTGAACGGATTTCATCGAGCTATCTTTGTGTTGGCAGTATATAGAGAAGGCGTGTGGTTAATTAGTTTTTGACTGACTTCTAAAAGGAGGGGATATTTACTCATTAATTCTTTGTTGGTTTTTGTATTCGAGGTGGTTTTAGGTAGTTACTGTGGGGTGTAGTTAGATAAATGTTGTTGTTCTGTTGTGAGACTGATACTGTCATCGTAAGTGTGACTGTAGGTTTGATTCTCAGTTTGGATGAAGTGTTATTAAGGTTTTTTGAAGCCTGTAATTGTTTGTGCCCAGTGTCAAACCATCAATACACTTGTATTAGATGGGTAACTGTTCAAAAGCGGATGTGACATTGTATATGTCATCTCTACTTACTCCTTCGGGATTAGAAAGAGATGAAGTTCTCCATTATGTAATTTATTTTTCAGAATTTGAATTTTGAAGTAATGGTTCGAATTCCTGAAGCAGTAAGCCTATAACTTCCTTACCTATGTGGAAGATTTTCAATGACACACTTGGAGCACGCTGTATGTCTGCAGATGGAGCAGGTCCTCAGTGGAGCCAGGAGGCGAGCAGTCTCCCCGCAGAGCAGGCAGGTACGGGGGGCGGGGCCTTGGGCTGAGCGGCGCATACCTGGGAACAGAAAAAGATTATTGTGAATGGAAAATGAAAATAGAAAATGACTATTGTGAGACATTCAATTAATTCGCGTGTATTTTATTACCTTAGAGCTTTTAATAAAGACTTGTAATTGGCTAAGATGAGATATGATTATTTTCTATTGGTTTTCATAAGTATCAAGTTAAATTAAGTTGTAAGATTTCCACATCAATAAGTAAATAAATAAATCTCGTAATATCGTACACATAATACATAACATCACAGCTTTTTCCTCCTGAGGGGTAGGCAGAGGTGCACATTACGATATTTAATGCCACTGTACAATGTAACACCTACTTTTCACTATTTATGTTATGAGTCCCATGTAATAGGGGGTGAGCCTATTGCCATATACCGGGCACAATTCCAGACTCCGTGTTACTACTAAGAATTTTTAAAAAGTCAATAATACTTTGTCCGACTCGGGAATCGAACCCGAGACCCCTTGCCTAGCAGTCGCACATGAGACCACTCGACCGAAGTAAGCAAGCATATATTCCATTTAAATAATTATCTGTCTTGCCCCTGGAGAAAAATCAATGAGACTATTGATCGAAGAACTCTGAGATCGTTGTCAAAAAAGGAAAAACTAAATTAACTAAAACTAAAATCTGAATATACTGAAAGAAGCTCTACTAGTTTCGAACCACAGAGGGTGAGTGTGAGATCACGTGAGTAACTCGCGATTTTAGTTAATGTAGTATGTCTCACGATAGTTATAAAAACAAAGGAAAAGCTTTACTACGAATTCAAGTCGTAATTACAGTTAGCCATCAGACCAACACAGATCGGGGCCAATAGGGCTGATGCCGATACGGAGCCGCAGAGGACTTAACGGGTTACTGGGGCTCCGGTTCGAAGTGCAGGAGTATGAAGTTTTAAACAGTAAGAGTCTGACACTTCCTCTGGCCTCACCCGGGCGGGAGAAGTCATTAGATGAATTACCCTCTCAAAAAAAGTCGTAATTACAGTTCGAACCCAGAATCTGGACATCAACAACCGCATTAAAAACTACGGAACCAAAGAGCAGTCTTTATTTAAATGAGCAGAAGGCACTCAAAGGAATAATATCTCTCAATTAAAGCGACGTCTCGAGGCATTAAGGTTAAACGATTAATTAATCACAAATGCGTTTTATAATAGAGACGCCAGTTCATTAATCACTAGTGAATCAGCAGGAAAATGTAATAATATTAAAATGTACTGGGAATTATTTATGCGATTCGTTTTATGGTATAAAGTCTTATCTAATGTTACGAACCACGAATAATTGAGAATGATTTTAAGTGTGGGAGAGCCATGCTTCGGCACGAATGGGCCGGCTCGACCGGAGTGATACCACGGACTCACAGAAAACCGACGTGAAACAACGCTTGCGTTGTGTTTCGTCGTATGAGTGAGGTTACCGGAGGTCCAATTACCCCTCTCCCTAGTCTGCTGAATCCCCGAATCTTCCACAATCCACAAATTCCCAATTCCTTAAAGGCCGGTAACGCACTTGTAACGCCTCTGGCGTTCCAGGTGTCCATGGGCGACGCCGATTGCTTACCATCAGGTCATCCGTCTGCACGTTTACCGACTTATGTCATAAATAAAAAAAATAAATCCTTAAAACAGTAAATGAGCCGAGTACTAATAATGCGAGAATGTTATTCAAAACTTCATGGCTCTGATTCACTGATCTGTAGTTGATTTATACACTTATTAGGTTACGATGGGACTGACATACGCTGTGCGGTATAAAAGTCCCAAAATTAAAAAGGATATAAAAAAGGTAGTAACTGACTTTACGTTCAATGGAAATTATAGTAGATATCTGCTGCTATTCCTATAAGATCCAAACCTACTATATCTAGATTCGACGTGGACAAAGCCATTGGAATAGAACTAGTGTTAACGAAAACCTAGTCATTCCCAACCTATCTACTAAATTGCACTAGAAATAGAATCAATCTTGTTTCGCATTGCGTTCAATTCTGTACATTGGAAATACATGGGTATCGAAGTCCTAGATTTTGTAGCACTATTTGTGTGCTAGATTAGGTATGCGATTCGCTTTCCATCATTCGATTGCTTGTATCTACAAATAGTCGCTGTGGTCAGGACCGAATTTCTGGATGTTGGGCCCCCGGGTCCTATGAATGACGTAACGCATAACATAACATCACGCCTTTTATCCTCGAAGGGGTAGGCAGAGGTGCACATTACGACACTTAATGTCACTGTAAAATGTAACACCCACTTTTCACTATTTTTGTTATGAGTCCCATGTAATAGGGGTAAGCCTATTGTCATATACCGGGCACAATTCCAGACTCCAAGCTACCAATGAGATTTTTTTTAAAAAACCCAGTAATGGCGTGATGTTATGAATGATGAATGTATGTGGAAAATATTATTATATTACTAAAATTGTGGTGTGGTGTGGTGGTGTTTGAGTAATTGGACATATGTAAGTCTGTCACTGTATACATTCGCTTTAGAACCTATTTCTATCGTCCTGAATATTTGTGAATGTATAGTCTTCATGGTCCGATGACTATGCAAAGCTGACAGTACCTATGGCTGTTATAATATAAAGATATATTATATGTAATATGTATGTTTGTTCAGTCGTTACGGGTAGTTAGGAACTTATAATGCTGATAACTTATCTAGAAGGGAATATATATCATTCTTGGTAACGAGATATTGTAGTTACGTCATAATGACATGCTTTTTAGGTAGAACTGCACATACATATGTATATAGTACAAAGTAACACCCACCTTTTAGTTATATTATGAGTCTCATATAATAGGAGTTCTTTTATGGGATAAGCCATAAACGAGCAGACCGATCACCTGATTGTAAGCAATCGGTGTCTCCTATGGACACCTGGAACACCAGAGGCAATCCAAGTTTTGCGAATTAGGCCTTTTAGGGTTAAGGAATTTGCGGATTATTGGGGATTCAGAGATTGGGAAGATAAATGATGCATTGGGGGTAATTAGGCCTCCGGTAACCTCACTCACACGACGAAACACAACGCAAGCGTTATTTCACGTCGGTTTTCTGCTCGTTGGTGGTATCACCACGGTCGAGCCGGCCCGTTCGTGCCGAAGCATGGCCCTCCCACACTTAAATTACACTATTGTCGTACACGGGTCGTTCAGACTCAGTGCTATTATTGAGAATAACCAAATTCCGTTCTTCTGGGAATCGAACACGAGGCCTTTTGCTCTTCAGTCGCACTTTGATGTGACATTGCCTCTTCTGTTCTAAGAAAGTGTAGGTAGCCAAGTGTTATATGAAACACTAATTCATCGTGGAATAATTAATTTGTAGTATGAATTTAATTAAATATGAGACGAACTTCGCTCGAATACTATATTGCTACTTAAATTTAAATTGTACCTAAATATCGTGCTCTGTAATTGTAAAAAGAATTTGCAGTGACAACTATACTTGAGAACATCTTAAAAATGAGTATTTATCCATAGACTAACATACAAATTACGACACTGTATTTGGAAACCTAAATATAAATATGCATCCAATAAGAATTTAAGCTTAGCCAACTAGCATTTGTCTATTATGAAAACGAACAGTTAATTAACGAGGCATTCATAGTCACTGGAATATCGTTCTGATTATAAGATTATATTTCATGTACGTACCTACGTATATAATTATGTGTAGAGATTAGTAGTCTAGTATAATCATATTATAAACTAAAGATTACATAAAGACGGGTGAGTAGTGAGCGCACAGTGGCTACGGGCTACGGCTACGGAGCCTACGGCGTAGCTAGGACTTACTACGCGGGGCGTAGCACCCAAAATAATAACTATCGTGAAACATACTAAATTAACTAGAAATTGCGGGTTACCTACGTCAAAGACTGAGAAAAGCTGGAGTAGGTGCCCGACATCGCCGCGACCGCGCACTCTGCCCATAAGGAAGAACCCCTCTGTGGTTCGAAACTAGTAGAGCTTTTCTCAGTACTTTCACGTGAGTAAACCACGAATTTTAGTTCATATCTTAAGAGCGATTACCAAACTTTTCAGTTGGAATCTGCAAAGAGGAGGAATAATAAATGCTGTTCATTCATTGTTGAACTGATCGATATTTGTATTAACACGTTTATGTTAGGTGTATTATAATGATGATAACCTTACTTTCAAGCCTCGCAACTAGTCTGCCGACTCTCTTGGCCTCGACTTCATCAATTTTCTCAGCTCGTTTGACGACGGCAGCTATGGCCTCTCTCTCGCTCGCTGTCAGCGGTGGCTCGCTGCGTGCCGCACTCCATCCTGTACGTAATCTGTGGCAGAAGGAGAAGAACTCTTATTACATTAATAGTAAAGCATTGGATATTCAACTATGGACCAAGGAGACAAACGAGCTATTCTCGCAAGTCATAGGTCGAGATTATCGCACAACGAATGACACGGCGGACCGCGATCGAGCTCACTTCAAGTGTTCAAATTGACATTATACAGAATTACCTGCACATAAAATGACTGATCTCATGTTATTAGCACGGCGTTGACTTCTGTGTTGGACTTCCTTCAGAATTGATTGGTTGAAGGAGTCAGTCTAGTTGAAACCCTCAGAATTGATTGGTTGAGGGATAGGTAGTCCTTCAGAATTGATTGGTTGAAGGATTTAGCGATTAATATAATCAGTAACTCTTAAGGGTAATTTGATACAGTCAGTTAAAAATATTAATTTACATATTATGATGAACTCACTTTATTATTAATTTAAACGAATTTCGATGTATTTCTGTCAGATGTATCTGTTTTTATTTAATTTTTATTCATTAATGTACTATAAACTCATTTATGTAATCAATTTAAATGTATTTAGTTATTTCCATTAATTTTCATTTTTTTTTTTACTTTTATTTATTTATTGATCTATTATGATGAACTCGTCTTTACAATTACTTTGATGTATTTAGATTTATTTTCATTAGATTCATTTTGTTTCACCCTTATCTTTAATAAATTTTGTAAAATATCGCTATTGGCCAAGTGTAAGGTTAGTCCATCGGGAACGTGTATGGGGACATACACGGTGTCAGGATGGACGAGTGTAAGGTTAGACATATTTTTAGACCCTGCATCTACATTTAATTTCATATTTTATAATTTTTAATAGTAAAATAAGTTTCTTAATTGGTATCACAAAACGAAATCATTAAAAAAATAAAATGACATTTTTCAATGGGGAACACTTGGACAATGGCGGCATTAGGAGCGAGCTCACGGAACTGTACGGTTGTGTAAGCTATACTCAGTTGGAAATAATTACATAAAGAAATAAATATTGTTTGTCTGCTGGAGATCTTGGTGTTTTCTTTGGAGAGGAGTCTTATACTTGTTTAAGTACCTACTGAGTAAAGATCTTTGTGCTAATTTAGGAATTAGGTCGTTTAAGAATGTTTTAATTATTATTGTTTTTGGTAAAGACTTATTTGTAGTATTTATACGGACTGATGACGTGAATTTTACCCACGCCCGTCGCGGAGGTGGAATGAAGATTTATTTTCAAAATTCACGAGACTGCAGTTTTCTGCGGTTCCGCAGTTGCCACGGTAGCGATTATCGCCCGAAAAATTGGCGGTTGATCATCGCAAGACAGCGGCTACAGTACCGCAACCGTGCCCGCCAGTGCGGTGTAGCGGGAACCTCAAACAATCGAAACCACCGCGGCCCTAGAACGGTGCGAAATGTGCTTTAATTTTTACATATCAACTGTATTTTACAAAAACTGCGGACTCGTAACCGCCGCCCACGACCACTCGACCAACGAGGCAGTCAAACAGTTTTAAACAAAGACTATATTTCAGTATAACAAAACGTCAAGAAGCACCTTAATCCATATCAACGTCTGCAGGCAACTAAAAGAGAACAACTCTAAACCTAACCGTGTGCACTTACGGTTCAATTTGGCGTAACAAAGAGGTTACGTGAAAGGATTATGATATTAAGGGATGAACGATGCATGTGTCTACATAATCTGTGCTGAGTGGCTTTATGTGCGCTGTTTAGTCTGTGGTCTCTTTGTGAACAAATCTTTGGGCTGGGAACAGAGTAGAAATGGGATTAATTATACTTTTTTTGACTACATGATGAAAGATTTGTTTGCGTTTTAAGATTGTGGTTTAATTTAAAGAAATGTCTTGACTTTGATTGGTGACACTGAATTATTATTTAATAAAAATGAACAGACTTGATTAGAGTCTTAGCCTTAGCGAGTCATAATCTATGACACTTTGTATTCTGACATTTTTTTTTTAATTCTTCAGTACCTATATAATCTGTGCTGACTGGTTTTTATCCTTGTTTACTCTGTGGTCCGTTTGTGAACGGATTTCATCGAGCTATCTTTGTGTTGGCAGTATATAGAGAAGGCGTGTGGTTAATTAGTTTTTGACTGACTTCTAAAAGGAGGGGATATTTACTCATTAATTCTTTGTTGGTTTTTGTATTCGAGGTGGTTTTAGGTAGTTACTGTGGGGTGTAGTTAGATAAATGTTGTTGTTCTGTTGTGAGACTGATACTGTCATCGTAAGTGTGACTGTAGGTTTGATTCTCAGTTTGGATGAAGTGTTATTAAGGTTTTTTGAAGCCTGTAATTGTTTGTGCCCAGTGTCAAACCATCAATACACTTGTATTAGATGGGTAACTGTTCAAAAGCGGATGTGACATTGTATATGTCATCTCTACTTACTCCTTCGGGATTAGAAAGAGATGAAGTTCTCCATTATGTAATTTATTTTTCAGAATTTGAATTTTGAAGTAATGGTTCGAATTCCTGAAGCAGTAAGCCTATAACTTCCTTACCTATGTGGAAGATTTTCAATGACACACTTGGAGCACGCTGTATGTCTGCAGATGGAGCAGGTCCTCAGTGGAGCCAGGAGGCGAGCAGTCTCCCCGCAGAGCAGGCAGGTACGGGGGGCGGGGCCTTGGGCTGAGCGGCGCATACCTGGGAACAGAAAAAGATTATTGTGAATGGAAAATGAAAATAGAAAATGACTATTGTGAGACATTCAATTAATTCGCGTGTATTTTATTACCTTAGAGCTTTTAATAAAGACTTGTAATTGGCTAAGATGAGATATGATTATTTTCTATTGGTTTTCATAAGTATCAAGTTAAATTAAGTTGTAAGATTTCCACATCAATAAGTAAATAAATAAATCTCGTAATATCGTACACATAATACATAACATCACAGCTTTTTCCTCCTGAGGGGTAGGCAGAGGTGCACATTACGATATTTAATGCCACTGTACAATGTAACACCTACTTTTCACTATTTATGTTATGAGTCCCATGTAATAGGGGGTGAGCCTATTGCCATATACCGGGCACAATTCCAGACTCCGTGTTACTACTAAGAATTTTTAAAAAGTCAATAATACTTTGTCCGACTCGGGAATCGAACCCGAGACCCCTTGCCTAGCAGTCGCACATGAGACCACTCGACCGAAGTAAGCAAGCATATATTCCATTTAAATAATTATCTGTCTTGCCCCTGGAGAAAAATCAATGAGACTATTGATCGAAGAACTCTGAGATCGTTGTCAAAAAAGGAAAAACTAAATTAACTAAAACTAAAATCTGAATATACTGAAAGAAGCTCTACTAGTTTCGAACCACAGAGGGTGAGTGTGAGATCACGTGAGTAACTCGCGATTTTAGTTAATGTAGTATGTCTCACGATAGTTATAAAAACAAAGGAAAAGCTTTACTACGAATTCAAGTCGTAATTACAGTTAGCCATCAGACCAACACAGATCGGGGCCAATAGGGCTGATGCCGATACGGAGCCGCAGAGGACTTAACGGGTTACTGGGGCTCCGGTTCGAAGTGCAGGAGTATGAAGTTTTAAACAGTAAGAGTCTGACACTTCCTCTGGCCTCACCCGGGCGGGAGAAGTCATTAGATGAATTACCCTCTCAAAAAAAGTCGTAATTACAGTTCGAACCCAGAATCTGGACATCAACAACCGCATTAAAAACTACGGAACCAAAGAGCAGTCTTTATTTAAATGAGCAGAAGGCACTCAAAGGAATAATATCTCTCAATTAAAGCGACGTCTCGAGGCATTAAGGTTAAACGATTAATTAATCACAAATGCGTTTTATAATAGAGACGCCAGTTCATTAATCACTAGTGAATCAGCAGGAAAATGTAATAATATTAAAATGTACTGGGAATTATTTATGCGATTCGTTTTATGGTATAAAGTCTTATCTAATGTTACGAACCACGAATAATTGAGAATGATTTTAAGTGTGGGAGAGCCATGCTTCGGCACGAATGGGCCGGCTCGACCGGAGTGATACCACGGACTCACAGAAAACCGACGTGAAACAACGCTTGCGTTGTGTTTCGTCGTATGAGTGAGGTTACCGGAGGTCCAATTACCCCTCTCCCTAGTCTGCTGAATCCCCGAATCTTCCACAATCCACAAATTCCCAATTCCTTAAAGGCCGGTAACGCACTTGTAACGCCTCTGGCGTTCCAGGTGTCCATGGGCGACGCCGATTGCTTACCATCAGGTCATCCGTCTGCACGTTTACCGACTTATGTCATAAATAAAAAAAATAAATCCTTAAAACAGTAAATGAGCCGAGTACTAATAATGCGAGAATGTTATTCAAAACTTCATGGCTCTGATTCACTGATCTGTAGTTGATTTATACACTTATTAGGTTACGATGGGACTGACATACGCTGTGCGGTATAAAAGTCCCAAAATTAAAAAGGATATAAAAAAGGTAGTAACTGACTTTACGTTCAATGGAAATTATAGTAGATATCTGCTGCTATTCCTATAAGATCCAAACCTACTATATCTAGATTCGACGTGGACAAAGCCATTGGAATAGAACTAGTGTTAACGAAAACCTAGTCATTCCCAACCTATCTACTAAATTGCACTAGAAATAGAATCAATCTTGTTTCGCATTGCGTTCAATTCTGTACATTGGAAATACATGGGTATCGAAGTCCTAGATTTTGTAGCACTATTTGTGTGCTAGATTAGGTATGCGATTCGCTTTCCATCATTCGATTGCTTGTATCTACAAATAGTCGCTGTGGTCAGGACCGAATTTCTGGATGTTGGGCCCCCGGGTCCTATGAATGACGTAACGCATAACATAACATCACGCCTTTTATCCTCGAAGGGGTAGGCAGAGGTGCACATTACGACACTTAATGTCACTGTAAAATGTAACACCCACTTTTCACTATTTTTGTTATGAGTCCCATGTAATAGGGGTAAGCCTATTGTCATATACCGGGCACAATTCCAGACTCCAAGCTACCAATGAGATTTTTTTTAAAAAACCCAGTAATGGCGTGATGTTATGAATGATGAATGTATGTGGAAAATATTATTATATTACTAAAATTGTGGTGTGGTGTGGTGGTGTTTGAGTAATTGGACATATGTAAGTCTGTCACTGTATACATTCGCTTTAGAACCTATTTCTATCGTCCTGAATATTTGTGAATGTATAGTCTTCATGGTCCGATGACTATGCAAAGCTGACAGTACCTATGGCTGTTATAATATAAAGATATATTATATGTAATATGTATGTTTGTTCAGTCGTTACGGGTAGTTAGGAACTTATAATGCTGATAACTTATCTAGAAGGGAATATATATCATTCTTGGTAACGAGATATTGTAGTTACGTCATAATGACATGCTTTTTAGGTAGAACTGCACATACATATGTATATAGTACAAAGTAACACCCACCTTTTAGTTATATTATGAGTCTCATATAATAGGAGTTCTTTTATGGGATAAGCCATAAACGAGCAGACCGATCACCTGATTGTAAGCAATCGGTGTCTCCTATGGACACCTGGAACACCAGAGGCAATCCAAGTTTTGCGAATTAGGCCTTTTAGGGTTAAGGAATTTGCGGATTATTGGGGATTCAGAGATTGGGAAGATAAATGATGCATTGGGGGTAATTAGGCCTCCGGTAACCTCACTCACACGACGAAACACAACGCAAGCGTTATTTCACGTCGGTTTTCTGCTCGTTGGTGGTATCACCACGGTCGAGCCGGCCCGTTCGTGCCGAAGCATGGCCCTCCCACACTTAAATTACACTATTGTCGTACACGGGTCGTTCAGACTCAGTGCTATTATTGAGAATAACCAAATTCCGTTCTTCTGGGAATCGAACACGAGGCCTTTTGCTCTTCAGTCGCACTTTGATGTGACATTGCCTCTTCTGTTCTAAGAAAGTGTAGGTAGCCAAGTGTTATATGAAACACTAATTCATCGTGGAATAATTAATTTGTAGTATGAATTTAATTAAATATGAGACGAACTTCGCTCGAATACTATATTGCTACTTAAATTTAAATTGTACCTAAATATCGTGCTCTGTAATTGTAAAAAGAATTTGCAGTGACAACTATACTTGAGAACATCTTAAAAATGAGTATTTATCCATAGACTAACATACAAATTACGACACTGTATTTGGAAACCTAAATATAAATATGCATCCAATAAGAATTTAAGCTTAGCCAACTAGCATTTGTCTATTATGAAAACGAACAGTTAATTAACGAGGCATTCATAGTCACTGGAATATCGTTCTGATTATAAGATTATATTTCATGTACGTACCTACGTATATAATTATGTGTAGAGATTAGTAGTCTAGTATAATCATATTATAAACTAAAGATTACATAAAGACGGGTGAGTAGTGAGCGCACAGTGGCTACGGGCTACGGCTACGGAGCCTACGGCGTAGCTAGGACTTACTACGCGGGGCGTAGCACCCAAAATAATAACTATCGTGAAACATACTAAATTAACTAGAAATTGCGGGTTACCTACGTCAAAGACTGAGAAAAGCTGGAGTAGGTGCCCGACATCGCCGCGACCGCGCACTCTGCCCATAAGGAAGAACCCCTCTGTGGTTCGAAACTAGTAGAGCTTTTCTCAGTACTTTCACGTGAGTAAACCACGAATTTTAGTTCATATCTTAAGAGCGATTACCAAACTTTTCAGTTGGAATCTGCAAAGAGGAGGAATAATAAATGCTGTTCATTCATTGTTGAACTGATCGATATTTGTATTAACACGTTTATGTTAGGTGTATTATAATGATGATAACCTTACTTTCAAGCCTCGCAACTAGTCTGCCGACTCTCTTGGCCTCGACTTCATCAATTTTCTCAGCTCGTTTGACGACGGCAGCTATGGCCTCTCTCTCGCTCGCTGTCAGCGGTGGCTCGCTGCGTGCCGCACTCCATCCTGTACGTAATCTGTGGCAGAAGGAGAAGAACTCTTATTACATTAATAGTAAAGCATTGGATATTCAACTATGGACCAAGGAGACAAACGAGCTATTCTCGCAAGTCATAGGTCGAGATTATCGCACAACGAATGACACGGCGGACCGCGATCGAGCTCACTTCAAGTGTTCAAATTGACATTATACAGAATTACCTGCACATAAAATGACTGATCTCATGTTATTAGCACGGCGTTGACTTCTGTGTTGGACAAAGAATTATTGCATACATCAAGGTAAACCTGCCTCATTCGCCGAGTGGTCGCAAGTGCGACTGCCTGGCAAGATTGGGTCGGGCAAAGTATTATTGGGTTTTCTAAAAAAATCTCGGTAGTAGCACGGAGTTTAGAAATGTGCCCAGTATATGGCAATAGGCTCATATTACATGGGGCTCATAACATAAATAATGAAAAGTGGATGTTACATTGTATTGTATTGTACTTAAGTGCCGTAATTTGCACCTCTGCCTACCCCTTCGGGGATAAAAGGCGTGATGTTATGTTATCAAGGTAAAAATCTGAAGTTCAATATTAATACCGAGCTCAGGTGGCTGCCGTAACATCAGTAATGAACTAATTATTTCTTGGTTTTTCCATAATGTCAGCAGACTATAATGAGCCTTAGGTAATATGTTGGGTACCTATATATCTCTATATTACACATTCACCTCTCATAAAAGAAATAGCCTTAACATTACATTGTGAGCTGAAAATAAACAACATGTTACCAACTATATAACGGCGAGCCATTTATCTATGACGATAGATACTAGAATGACACCTATAATTAAATAGATAAGGGTTAGAGTTCTATATCTATGATAGGTCAATCACCTTCGTGCTTTCATAGTGAAACAATATTATACAAGGTGTACTAAAATGGCAGAAAAGGAAAGATTATTTTTACTAATATAGTTTATTTATAATATATTTTTTTATTTATTGGTGTTTTTGTAGTTCGATAGGGATTTTTTCATCAAAACCGAAAATGTTAAATATCTCAGAAACTAGTCACTTTCGGACCAGATACCTCAGGGATAATTTTATAGGAAATTAGTTATAATATCACCTTCCGAGACGAATACGTCGAGTTACAAGTCACCCTGTACATATTAGTTTGGTTTTATACCAGTGGGAGGTTTATATGTATAATGAATGCATATTGTACCCGTGCGAAGCCGGGGCGGGTCGCTAGTTATACAATAAAAAGTAAATAAAGTATAAGATGTTTATGTATAGGTATATGTATGTATGTACTTTTTTTTTAAGGTGGGAAAATCATCGAATGACTGCTCCCGCCTGGATGAGACGAGAGGGAGCGTCAGACTCTTACTGACTAAAAACCACCCCGTTCCTACTCCTGCACGTCGAGCCGGAGCCCCGGTTACCCGTTAGGTTCTCCGCGACATGTATGTTTGTATGTGTGTATGTATGTATGTAACATGATGATATAACCTGTATGAGTCAGTAGGACGAGTGCAAATTATCAGGTTGCGGATTACTGTATCTTTGATCAATATTATGACATAAATAGCGAGGGAAACACGCGATCATGTGTGCTAGATGTTTTTGTAATGGCTTTTATGTTTTTATTGTTATTCAGTATATAATTTGTATAGTTTTTAAGTGTGGGAGAGCCATGCTTCGGCACGAATGGGCCGGCTCGACCGGAGTGATACCACGGCCGAGCAGAAAACCGACGTGAAACAACGCTTGCGTTGTATTTCGTCGTGTGATTGAGGTTACCGGAGGCCCAATTACCCCCTTCCCCAGTCTCCTCATTCCCCGAATACCCAACAATCCTCAAACTCCTAATCCCCAAAAGGCCGGTAACGCACTTGTAACGCCTCTAGTGTTTCGGGTGTCCATGGGCGACGCCGATTGCTTACCATCAGGTGATCCGTCTACCCGTTTACCGCCTTAACTCATAAAAAAAGTTGAAATAACTTGCCCTGCAACTACTTGACCTCTATAATTATCGAACTTAAAACTCCTTGCTCGGTAGTCGCACATTGGAATCACTCGACCAAAGAAGCAAACAATAACTAGATAACACCTATTTAATTCCTACATTTCTACATTAAAGAATATTGACACAATAAAAAACTGCTTCGTTTGCCGAGTTGTCGCAAGTGCGACTGCCGGGCAAGGGGTCTCGGGTTCGATACCCTGGTCAGGCAAAGTACTACTTGGTTTAAAAAAATTCTCAGCAGTAGCACGGAGTTTGGAATTGTGCCCGGTATATGGCAATAGGCTCACCCCCTATTACATAGGACTCATAACATAAATAGTGAAAAGTGGGTGTTACATTGTACAGTGGCATAATGTGCACCTCTGCCTACCCCTTCGGGGATAAAAGGCGTGATGATATGCTATGTTGATTTGTAAGTTCAGATAGCTGGCACTTCATTTTGTCCTACAACTTGACTTCTATATCGAACTTAAAACTCCTTGCTGGGCAGTCGCACATTGGAACCATTCCACCAAAGAACCACGCATCAGTTTAACTAGACTACCTTAATTCCTACATTAAAAAATATTGACATAATAAAAAAGACATTAGCCCGCAAATTCCATTCGAAATTTCAAATAATTTCGAACATTTAACCCACCACCCGCAGCGTACAAATATTTCCGCGCCCAATAATCCGCGGGGCACTTTCGACCTATTTCTCTAACATCGTGAACGTGTAAAGAGAGTGACCAAGGCGGTTAGCGGACCATTCAAGGTCGTCGGGTATGGGCGATCAACTGACGTCATTCACATACCTAACAAGCCGAGAGAAGTGGTAGGGTTGATTGGATGTATATCCCATTCTGTTATTATTTTTATTATATAGCTATTTATGTATAGGTACACAAAACACCGCTAATTAGTTCACGGCACACATCGACACTACTATCATTTACACAATATACATGTGTGGGTAATTTCATATTAATAGATATGTATAGAAACATTCGTCAATCACACACATCTTGGTATTTAAATATCATTTTTGTGTCGGTATACGTAATAATTTAGTAAATAAGTTTAAATAAAAACGAGGGTAAAGATAAAAATACTCATAACAAACTTTGAATAAATCGAAATCAAATAATGAACGATC